TGTTGGCGTGATCAAATGCATTTGACTGAGTTAAGTTTAATTCCAAAACACTTGTGCTATCTATATCAACTATAGGGTAACTGCTATTGCTATGTGCTACGGCTGGTAAGCATGAGGTGTGAAGTTTGTAAAGCTTTTCACGGACCCCCGCTGACACTCAGTGCTCATTATGGGCCCCATAAATCTAGCGGGAGCAGCGAGACAGCGATGTGTGGAGATGCGTTTAATTTATGGACCCGGAGCACTAGAGGCAGAAGGAGGAGCTCAAGCATCATGAACTGAACTTGACACAGCAGTGACTTTGGGCTGAATTGGCGTGTGGAGATTTAAAACGCGCGCGGCATGTGTTGTGGATATGCAAAGTGACATAAAGGTACTGGACAAAACTTGTCATATTTAAAGCTGCTGTGGAGAGACTTTACGGCAGAAACAGAGGAGTGGTATGAATTAATCAGAGGCAGGCCATTCACTCACCATTCGGACTGGAATATCTACTGAAAATCACAGTGATAGATGGACTACAAGTGAATGGGAGCTCGTATATCAGTGAGTTGTTAAACTCACCATCCTCTGTTCAAGGCTTCTTTCCCACACAAACTCTCAGCTGTTCAAAGGACCCACAAGTCTTTTCATCTGCTATGGGAGAGAAATGAGAGGTAGGTGCTTCACACCTTTCTAGCTGACTCGGTTCTCATGGTTTCTAAGCCACTGACCCATACATCCACATTATATGTGCATTAGAACATTTTGGTCACAACAAAACTGGTGCACTGTCTGAATGTTTCTCTTAAACAATACAACCCTTTAAAAATAAAATAAAAAAGCTACTCAACATGACATGTAAACATCTTGAAAGGTCAAGTACATCAGAAATGGAAAGAGGCTAAGCCAGAATCCCACCGAACAAAGGTTGTTTCAGTAAGTGTATTTAGAATGGAATAAAAATATCAACATTAGAAAATAAAGTATATAAAATATAGCAGCCAAACCCTGCCAGCTTTCTCATTGGTCTCTAAGAGAAGGTTATCCTGTGTCTCTGTGGATTTTGTTTTAATTCTTACTCTACTACTCGCCATGCCTTCAGGGTAATTGGCAATCTTACTCCAACTATGCTTGATTTAGCACCCCTGTAAATGTTTTCAGTGTTTAAGAAGTTTGTATTGAGAGCAGCGTGAGCTTTCCAGCTCCCATGAGCTTCTTAGTAGCCTTCAATAAATGGATAGAAACTTTGTTTATAAAACAGTAATGAAATGTGGGTCTTGTTTTCCTTTGCAATTTTTCTTCAAGTAATTTGTTGAAGAAAAGTACAAATCAGTTACATTAAACTCTAAAAAGAAAACTTATTTTTAGCATTCTGCTTACGGTTTGTGAATGTGGGAATAATTTAAGTGTCTTAATATTTCCATGTGAACAGTATGGGACATATGGGAGTCTGCTCTTCCATGTTCTTTTAAGACAACAAATGATGACCAAGCTTTGCAACTGGAAAAAAATTTAAAAAACACTTTTGATCATATATGGAAATCTGTATTTACATCCCATTTATGCATAAAAACAATAATGGGTATGACTGAAAAACATGGAAACAGTTTAGAGAACTGTACATTGTATATTAAGTTTTTTTGTTTAGTTTTTTTTAGCAAACGGACAGAATGAGAACACAGGAGCGTCTGATCAAACTCAGACATTTCTTATGTAAACACATTTAAACAAAACTAATGATTATTTTCCCTCTCAGATCTTTCCTCAAAAGAAGAAATTCTAACCATGAGTACTTGCAGGTGAGAAATGATGAAAAGAGAAAGCCAATGAGCCCAGTAAAGCCCAATGTATAAGGCATGCTGCAGTCCATTTTGAATTGTGTGGAGGTTGTGGCCTGCTTCTGAGAGATGGAGACTGACAGAACTAGATGTGTAGATTTTCAATGATGGACACATCAGAAGAAAATACATGGGAGTGTAGACAGGCGGATGACCTCACTGCACCACAAGTCAGGTTAGCAGAACGTACCGGCTTCAAAGATGTCCGAGGAATGACTGTGAGTCATGCCGCCAGCGCAGAGAGTTCCTGGCTCTTCAGAATCCTGCTGCAGATGGTTTTTTTGTCTGTGCTTATCCTCCGACGGAATCCGATAAAATTGTTGCAATGATTCATTTCAACAAATTACAACCTGAATAATTTTTCTTTCACTGCATCAATTCTACACATCAATCATAATCTATTCCAACTTTAATTTGAGTAAGCTGCCAAAATAAAGTATGGAAATGTCAGAGCATTTCTTAACTAACCTGGGCTTACATACACCTCTAAGTAGTGTGTAAAACACATATTAAGTAAAGTTTAACTACCTTGACATTTAATAATTCAAGTCAACTTCAGATGTTAAATCCCCTATAAATTTCCAGAGGCACAGTGTTTTTGGTTGGTTCAAATATTCAGTCTTGACTATGTGAGCTGCAGAAAATCACATCTTTTAGTGTCTCCCTGTGCAAGAGGCTGTACATGTATTTGCAAAAGACAGATCATAAAGCGGGTGTCTGATAAGTGTGTAGAATATGGCAAACGAATAACAGAGAGCCGTTCACATGGCGGGAGGAAAGGAAGAAGGGAGGAAATGAATGGATGTCTTTTTGGAGGCGTGCTTGTTGTGTGCAGCTGTCATGTGCTGAAGCATGAATTCTTTCCGTTCAGGTCACAACTCGGCCACCATTTCAACAACACAGATCTAGATGAGCACCTGCCAACACCTCTGGACATGCAGCGCTGTCTTTCAGAGATACCAACAGTTAAAACATTTTTTATAGAATATTTTTTTACTATAAAAGAAGTTAGTGTGTCTGTGTGTTTATTTTTCTAGGTTCAGATGAGTTTGTTTTCTTCTCAAGGCTGTGGTGCTTTCCTTCCGACACAAGGTAATACTTATGGATTTTGGCACTTTAAAAAAAAAGATTTAAAGAATTACCTTGCAACAGTACCTTTGCAGCTCTATAGAGGCGATACATGTTCATACAGCAAATTGCCAGATTGAAAAAAGAAGTGTCTTTTTTCTAACAATAGAGTAACGATATTTAGTACTGATATTCCAACATAAAACAAAAATAATTTAAAAAGGAAAAAGAAAGACGGCACAATGATAAATGACTGAAAATACTGCATAGTACAAATGCCCCGTAGCTGCTTTTGTCCGTCCTGTTTCATAGGGTACGATGGGCCAACAGGGACAGACCACAATGAGACAGACTCATTTATTTTTCCTCTGACCAAAGGGGGGGGGGGGGAAATCCAAAAACTGACCGTAGGCTGTTGCCTCTAAGGCAAAACAAACTCACAGCATTGTCCTGCCCTCTGAGAACAAATGTGAATGGCTGAATCAAAACACCGCGAGGTCATCGATTCCCCCCAAAAACAAGGGAGGTGACTGCTGGAAAAAAAAAGTCAGTCCTGCTGGGTCACCCAAGTGTTATTCAGGTTCGCTGCTATTTGTGGTCTTGTCCCATTCTATGCTCTCTTCGCTGTGGGTGGGAGACGGGAGGACCCCGGCGGGCCCCGAAGGACGCATCCTGAGTCCCTGGAAGCGTCTGCACTCGGGGCAGATCCGGATGTGGCTGCACCCTCTGGCCACCAGGGCGGCCTCCTGCGCCAGTCTGTGGGAGAGCGGCTCGGGCAGTCCGGTGCCGCCGCACAGCTTGCCGTTGCTGAGGCTGACGGCGGCCGCCCGCGCCCGGCGCTCCTCCAGGGGCAAAGGTCGCGGGCGCAGCATGGACGCCGAGCGCCGGCGCCTCACCTGGAGGCTGTCCCGACACAACACGATCCCCTGGAGCTCCCGCATCATCTCCTCGCACACCGACTGCTGCAAGCACACACACGGGATAGAGAAAAAGATCGGGCGGACGGAAATAAGAGAGGGGGAAGACAGGGACAGGCCAGGACAACTCACTGACTGACTGACTGGATCAGGACGGACCCATGGACACCACAGACACATAACACATACATTTCGTGGTTACCTTTAAGATCAGTGAATAGAGGAAAATACAGAAACATAACAGCACAGTATCTACTCAAATATTAATCTCACACACGAGATACATATATTTCGTCTTCATGAACAATGATTAAGTATGGTTTATATGGATTGTAAAGTCAGACAGGATACTGTAACTCATGGTAAGAGCAGGAAAAGATTATCATCCATTAATTTGACACGAGCAGACACACATGGGCACACACACACGCACATACAAAGATGTTCCCAAGTGAACGGTCAACATCAGTCGGGCCAGCCCAGAAATGGGATATAACACAAATTGATGTCTGTCTTTCTTCCTCTGGGTATTTAATCAACTGAAAAAACACTGTGCGGGGCCAGACTGTTATCGAGGATCTTTTAGAGACTAAGACCAAAACAATCACATTACTGCTAGCACATCTCTCCTCGGATAGTGATGTTGTCTTGGATGTCTGGCATCCTGACCGTAAGAGCAGTCCAGCAGAGCTCCTTCACTAGGACTGAACTGTCCTGAGGAAAATATCATTAAATATTTGGACCCACTCCTTAAAATGCTCTCTCCCCATTCCAGCTATAGAATTGTATTGATAAAATTATGCATTTAAATCTGATTTATCCATTTTATAGGATTAGGAAAAATCCTCCAAAGTAATTTGTCTGAACAATAGATCAAGCTCAGATCCGTCTTTTAAAAGTTATCTATCCTTCCAACTGGCTTTACTGACAGCTCATGATTAATGCAAAGATCGGGTGGACTGTCTCAGCCGGACCATTACTGCCCATCATTCAACCTCCGTGTGGAATAACTTTTCTTCTGAATGAGTTGGGCTTTCGGTGTATTCTGAAAGTAATGATGAGTGTTTGTTTCTTTTTGCTGAAGAAGTCACTGTTTTTAAAAAGCAGTTCACAGAACCACAACTATGTAAAAACTCCCATCACCCGACCACTGTACACAGATACTAACCACTTACATAAGATGACCACAGCCATCATTCATCCGCTTCCTGGATAGTCTTTGTGTATGGATATTAACTTCTGCTAAAATTGAAAATCCACTGAACATGGTGGAGTGAGCTAAACGTGAGGTATATCATTGGTTTGTGGTGGCTGATTAAAGAAAGGCAGCACAAAGAAGAGAAAGAGAAAACGGCTATTACCGGTCAGGTCGGATAGCCCTCTCTCACCTCGTTTCCTGGTGTCTGTTTTAGCATCCAGACAAACTCTAGAACAGCCATCAAGATAGCCACCAGCAGGCCGCACACCAACACCACAAAGATACCGCCTATGTTCTCCATCCCCAGACCTGGAAAGATGTCGGCAGGTTAAGGTATGAAGCTGAAGAAAAATGTGAGGATTAATTCAAATGAGGTTGAGATCAATTAGAAATAAAAACCTTTGGCACGATGGTCCTCCTCCTTAGGACACTTGCCGCCATCCCACCACTTCCTCTTGAGAATCTCCAAACGATTCTCCTCCTGCAGTTTGAGAATGGCCAGGTCAAACTCATCACGGTACACTGACCCTAAGGGAAAAAGAAGGACAATGCTCACAATATTGTTTATTGGTCTAGTCAAACCTTTAAAATTTGACAACAAAAACATACAATGTAAGTAAAATGACCACACTGTCAAAGAAAAAGTATAAAAAGCTCTATTGTTGATTTTTGGTGATAACTTACACTATTATATCTCTAAGGAGTTGGGCTCAGGTTTAAATGGATGTGAAAGGGATCGTTTGGCAGTGGGGGCCTTGTCCGGTGGGTGGTTTGAGAGGAGATGCCTTCCCACAATGCCTTTTTTTAATTTTTAGGCATCTTTTACAAACAAATAAAGAACATCTACATGTTCTACACTAGCTAAAAAAAACATGGTTTTAAATATAAAATTACATTTCTGCCTCAATGAGACCTTGATAAGACCTAGTTTGGATTCCATCGATCAAAAGTAAAATGGCTGGTGCAAATTAAGGAAATGGACAGCTATTGTTACTTTTCTATTGTAAAAGTCCAAGCTAGGGTGGTGAAAGAGGAATAAAGTCAACATTGACAATCAAAAAGTTGAGTTTCATGTGCATCAGCAACTTTCCTCTAAATTACATCACAGGGCATTTTCAATATTTTATTTTCTTCTGTTGGAAAATGTGAAATATAAGAGGGACCTTTCAGATGTAAGATAACATGCTGCACAGGTTCCATCTCAGTATGTAGTTTGGAACATCCCATAAAAACAGACTCTGTAACCTTTAAACATCAAAGGATTTGAAATTAATGTCGTTCACTAAAGGTGTGGTTTTCCCTTTCTGCGGTTTGCCTGGGATCAAAGTGTATGTAAACCTTATGTTTGTCCTCTCGGAGCAGTAACTGCATCATGCAGAAACAAGTTCAACATTTAACTAGTACAATATTTCACATTCCCTTTCTCCTCATCGCACTAAACTGGAAGCTGCTCGGTTCATGTCGAGCAGCAGTTCTCTACGGTTTCTCACGTTTAGCATAATCTGTCTTGATTACATTAGCTAAACTGAGACCTTACTGTCAGTTTTAATCTTAAACATGCTATTTACGATACTTTATTTAACTAATACTTTTCAATGCCCGTTTTGCATGCTCACCATAAATAAATGGGTGCATTCAAGCGAAATCATCAGATTTGCCTTATGCAGCCTTCAATTTCCACTTGATCTTTGCCTCCTTTATGCCTTTTAGGATTTTTTAAATAAGTATGTTCCACCAAATGTCTTGACTATTGTATTTAGGTTTGTCTTCTTTTCCATTACTCCCGTCTTGATTGCTTTCAACTCACCAATTGGCATACCAATGCCATAGCCCTTGGTGTCCAGCAATCCTCCAATCTGAGTCAGATTACAGTTCCTCTGGCGATAATACTCATTCATGGTGCTTTCTAACAAGTAGGCGTAGTTGGAGTTGAGGACACGAGCGATCCCCTCCTCTGTGCTCTTTACAAACACGCTTGGCTGCTTTGAGTGCATGAAATTCCACATCCGCTGGTAGGTCTGGTAGCGAGAATTCTGTTAAAAAAAAGAACGAGTTGATACATTATCCCATGCGAAATGTAGATAGTCAATTATGTTGGCTCAATTTGAATCATTGTTTCAGTAAAATCTGAAGTATGTTTTTTTTTAGCACAGCTTTTTCCATTTGAGAAGCTTTTTCCATTTGAGAAGCTTCAGATTTTGAACAATAAGCTCTAAATTTTGTTTTTGAATAACCTGTATCCATAGAGATATTTACGGTTCTGTGGATGTACAGTAGACTAAAAGGAAAAAATAATTCTCCTCCCCATATATGATCTTCCACCATCCCTCTTCCCTGTAACACCTACTCTCACTGTTTCTCCCCGTCTTTTTCTGTATCTCTTAAAAGTCAGGCCCCTGAAAGATCAAAGAGGAAAGTGTGAGATGTGGACGGTGCCTCCATCCCCTTGAGAACAGGGATATTGAATGGCTGCTCAGACAACAGGCAAAAAACAGATAAAATCTGGTGTTACAGGAGGACGACAGGAAGGACAGGAAGGTGATGATCAGGACCCCAGCTTTGATGACCCATCGATCACTAGGAGCTCTGACGCGAGCCTGTGCCTGCTACGTAGGTTTGTAGGACAAAAAACTGCAAGCTTTTTCTTTCGATGGCGACATACATAATCCCTCACCTGAAAGAAGGTCATGGTGGATCCTCCGTGCATGGTGCCGTACTCTATCGCTGTCTGATCCGCCAGGTCATCCACAGACTCTATTGGCACCTCCATCCTTTGCACTGTTAGGAAGGCAGCCAGGTTGGCAGTGTATGAAGAGATGATGATTAATGTAAAGGCCCACCTGTGTAGGAAGTCAGGGATACAGATCATGTGCTTTCATATGCAAACATATGGAAATGAGCAGAGTGCTGCATGAAGACAGATTATCTAGGTGAAAGTGCAGGAGGACACACCTGCAACATGACCGGATTTACAGTGGCCAAATTAGTGGTGTTTGCATATGGATGAAGGTGACAATTCTTGGTTTGGGGGATGATTAAGATGAAAAGTCACAGAGAAAAACAGGCGATGTTTTTATGCTCGCACATTTTACTTCTCTCAGGTTTGGAAACCTGGGCTGGAGCCCAGCGTGTGTCCTTTGTATTTTCTCTCACTTCTCCTTGGACACCGTGTTCAGGTCTGCTGTAAGTCACTTCTGAGCACTGTGAGTCTTGTTTTAATCTCACTTCTGTTCGGTTAGCTTTAGGGCATTGTACAAAGAACAGCTACTTTCTACAGAGGAGGTTCTTGACAAGGCTGCTGTGTGGTATTGAGACTAACTTTTTAGAAAAGTTGAGATCAGATGTATCATTTTTTTTCAGAAATGTGCAATTCAAACCTTTCCACATCAATTGGATAAAAAATAATGATGTTTTGGAGCAATTGAGCAATATCAACATAAAAAGGAATAGAACTGAAAGCATGGATCCCTTCAATGATTTCATGAATACTAACCAAACTCCGCTGACACAACGCGTGGACAGAGCTCTGGGGGCGATGGTGGATCCTTGCTGCATGAAGCCTCCGACAGGAAACCAAAAGCTGTTGCCCAGTGAATACTGGTTGATCAGCAAGTTACAACGCCCCTTCAGACAGGGATGGGGATTGTACCACTCATAAGGTGTAAGTCTGAGTGGTAGAAGACAGTTGAAGTTACAAACACAGTGCAAAACCAAAGGTAACAGCAAAGGAGACAGAAAATGGAGCGAATGACAAGAATGAAAGCAACTCTAACAATCAACTGAGCACAAAGTCACCTTAGCTGTCTGGAGAAACAACCAACCTCCTTTTCAGTCACCATGTGCTGATTCATCAAATTTGGTGCTGTGATTAATCTTTGTGTCCTCCAATTTGCCTTCATTACATATGAAATGTGTGCAGACTGAGCCAAAAATCTGTTTAATTCTTTATTATGTTCTTGCTCAAATTAAATGAAAACTTGAAAGATCCAAGCAAAAACTTGTTGGGATACATCAATTGGATCTATAGATTTGGAATCCAGTTGGAATATTATTCTAAATGTAACCCAGATACAGGCCATATACTGCATTGTGCACAAGTCATGCTTATGAAATGGTGTATTTCACCCTCAAAAGGTGCTGTTCATATTGATACCACCCACAGAAGTCTCCCAAAAGCACAGAATGCACACAGCTCAGGGAAACTTAATTCAATTTTACAGACAGTTATATAAGCTAATTTGCTCTTTAAAAAAAAGAGTAATTTGACAGTTGAGAAGCATTTGTGCCAGTACCCTTCCTGACCAGCAGGGGACAGCATGGTGCAGGACACCAGCCGCTTGGAGGAGAACATCTTTTTTTTACTCTGATGAGACAGATCAACCACAGAAACTGAAGAGAAGCAAGAAAACAGACACCTGTTTCCGGCTCCATGTATTCCCCTAACAAACCTCTTTTGTGTTTTTACTCTTTGCACAAAACCCTTTGTTGATCTCTTGTTCTTTCCTTTCCCCAAGTCATCTGTGGAGACCGAGATCTTTACCTGGCCACGAGAAAGAGAACGCAGCTGACAGCCAAGTAGGCCAGAAGCATGAAGAGCCAGACACCAGGGGAGAAGGGATCCAGGAAGGAGAAGTAACCTGGTCTACGTCCCTGAAACACAACAAACAAACCCCTAAAGCACAAATCTGAAATAGCTCAATCTTTCCTGCGCCAAGCAAATATTTAATTTCATGTACAAATTAAACAAGCCATGAGAAACATAAGCTTTTCTGGAGAGAGGTGGATGAGGGTAAATACTTTAGCTGTAAAGATGACAATGAAATAATTGACATGTGAAAAAACTTTTTGAAGCATCTCCTCCACGCATTTACATCCAAGATTATTCAAATGAAATGCCTCCAAATGAAAGTGTTGATTGCTTCGCCTTATTTTGACTGCTGTTGGCTTAATTTGGAGTAGATAAAAAAAAGGTGACTGTCACAGTAAATAAAGGGATTTGATGAGATAAGCATAGATTTTCCTGTACTAAACTGATATCACCATAATTATGTGAATCTCATTTGCTTTTAAGCATTCAGATAAACACTGTTTGAAAGCACATACCCATGAATAGACAAGAGGGGTACACAGTTGCAAACTGATACACCAGTACAGATAAGACCCTTTAATTCTGCCACTGAAAATATGAAAACTACTGATATTAACTGATAACACTTTCTTGTTGACTATGTTGGTACATCCAGTAAAGCTGCAGAATATGGGATCAGGTTAAGAATAACTAGCGGTTATCAGGCTGGCAGAGCTGGTAGAGCAAGACAAAATACAGCATTTGCACTTCCCATAAGGCTGCATGCATTGGAGAGAAAAAGGTTAGATAATCAGCTAAACCATTACAGCAACATTGAACACAATTCATTTCCACGACCTATACTTGACTTCCATTATGACTGGAGGTGCACAGGGGGCCAGCTCAGAGTAAAAAAAGCAAAAGAGATTAATAGCTTTGGCTTGGGCAAAAGGGCTAGCAACTACAGGCTGTCATATATCAGTTTGGTTTGGTAACCAGGAGATAAAGCGGCTGAAATAAGGTCGGCAGCCAGTGTTCTTGCTGGAATACAGGAGGTCATTTTCGAATGTTTCATTATGCATCACCAACAGCTATTGTCCCCTAAATGAAACCAATTACTGATAAACCAGCGTCGGTTTGAGTGTGCGTGCCTCTTTATTTGTTTGTGTGTCTGTGCACATAGTATATCATGCATCTGCCGCTTGTGGTTAGTCATTGAAGGAATATTAGCCATTTACACACAGATGCACGTCCACCATCTGTTAATGACTGTGAAATGGCGCTGGCTGTTGGAAGCTCGTGGACAGTTAAAGAGTGGACGTGATCAAACAACCAACTGTCCGGCAGTTGTTATGAGACAAACTACACATCTTGAATGAATCCCTTATCTTGCATTTCTATGACAACAGCCAGCCCCCTGGAGCGTACCTGAACAAGCCCAAATCACTTTTATGGAAATATACTCAATTATGTGTTCCTAAGGGAGTGAATACCAACCAGAACCCTGCAGTGATACATTTCTGAGGCCCCTCAAAATTAAATTTGAGGCAAAGAGGGTGAAATTATTTTGTTGGGCATTTGTTATGATAAACGGATCCCCATTTAGACTAGCAGAGAGATGAAAATTCATTAATGCGTCTGTAATCACTTGCATATTAGCCTGGCTGAGTAACGTTAGAGTGGTGCAGAAAGCAGAAGAGGAGATTTGGATAGAGCATAATTTTAACAAGATTCAAATCTCAGCCTGCCAGTCATAATGTATGCTCTTCTATCTATAGAGTGTAATTGCCTATGACTTTAATGGTGATAGCCGACTTAAAATAGAGCAGCAGAGTGTTCGACCAAGATGGCTTTCTCGGAGGTAGAGCGCTGTTGTAAGAAAGTACCACCACATCTGACATCAGTGAGGTAGCAGCAGTATGTGCTGACATGAGTCCTCCTGTTTGCTAGTCCAGTTTGGTGCATGCTGAAGCAGCGTTTTGTGAACTGCTGGCCCTGTGTGCCCACATCTTAAGTTTACACCAAGGTACCATTATTAAGATAAAGGGATCTGCAAAAAAACACGGGAGTAAAACACTAGCAGATGGCCCAGTGAAAGAAGGATCAGGAAAGAAGCTCAGAAATGGAAAGGGCTCCTCAGAAAAGGAGTAGAGTGAAAAGAAGAAAATGGCGGGAATGGCTGTTCAGCAGTCTTGACTTTTGGGTTCCAATACGTTAGATCTAGAGCTCAGACAAAGTTATGTTTTTAAGACCTGGGGAGGAAGTTATTTGTGACTAAAGCAGACAAACTAATGAGCAGACAGAGTTTCAGATATGCTAAACTAAAATGTCATGAAATGTTTCACATTTTTAAAACATTTGATTATTTTAAATATCATTTTTAGATTCTTCATAAAATTAGTGGTCATATTGAGGACTAAAATAAAATAATAATTGCGTGTTAAAAAGTGAAACCTCAGTTGGAGTCAGAGTTCATACATCTGAGGCTGAAGAGACACTAGCAGAAATAACTAACTACTAACTAACAACTCACTACTCTTTCACTTCAAATCCTTTGTGTATAAGACACAAAATCCTGTAACATGCCATAGATACAGTACTAACCACCCACCAGCCACCAATGCCAGCTTGTCTAGATAGGACTTGGTAAGAAAGTTGAAAACAGAAATGCACTCTCCTCTGCAGACAAAATGACAAGATTTAGAGTGTTTACATTTTTTTGTGGAGCCTGTGAATAATTGTAGATTCCACAACTGTAAAGCCAATCTGCTAAATGCTGTGCTCATTGGCAAAAATTTGGAAAAAGGTTCTATTCCATACCAGCTCCCTCTGTGAGCTTTAAAATGTACTTTTTGAATTTGTTGCAGTAGAAATGAAGCACAAAACAAAACATATTAAAGCAAAAATTAAAATGTATGCATGTGTTATTGTTGGTATTATAACAAATACATCAATCACAGCAGAAAGCCCCCAAATGAAGAAGAAGCTTAGCAAAGCTTATGTCCCTAAAGACGGTACAGGATTGCGGTTTAAACACTTACCTCACAAACATACAGGAGGCTTGCTCTCTTTATTTCGCAAGGTTAGTCTCAGAGTGCATGACATATTGTGAGCAGCTTTGTGTTTGTGTGTGTGCCCCTGTCTCATATCTTGTCAGCAGCTGTCTGTGCTGTCAGTCATCTTCCGCAGGGCAGATATTTTGTGCACTTTGGGGCAGCGGGGTATAAAAAAAAAGAAAAGGGCACCTTTTGAGGCCCCAGGCAGTTTACTGGAGGCTGAGAAAAAACACAGCAAGCGTTGCTAATCTGGTGGTGACTGCTCAATGGGAAATGAACACTTGAAAGAGACAGAAGGCTGTAAAATAGATGGAATGCCTACCCAAACAAGTGGTAAAGACAATAATTGTTGTTTTGGTGAATGAATTTGATTCAACAAGCACTTAACGTGGAGTGTGCACGTTCAGTTTTGCGACATGTTGCTCTTTGTCTTCTCACGCACATATTTGCTGCCCTGTTTGAATGATTCTTATTGGGGCAGGAGATCATTTTATGAAAGTTTATTGTTATATTATTATGATAGGAGGGAGAGAGCCAAATCACAGAAGGACATGAGATAATGCAGATGTAGCACACAGCGCTAAACATCCTTTATGACAAGCTTTTATGAGCGCACAAGCACAAATAAAAAAAAGTGAAAAATTGCTGCCTACTGCAGTAAGTTTACGTCTGTTCTTAGTCGTAACACACACACCACGAACTGGTTCATTTTGCCTCGCACTGCCCTTATCCTCGCTTTCTCTCCCGGGGGGGATTGCCTGCATGCCAGGAAAGTGGCTGAAGGAGCCGGTGAGGTTATCCATTCAAGGATTTCACCTAGTCATTGGCCCTCTTGGTATTCATACCACACTGTTGCCCCCTGAAGCTTTTGCCACTACACTGACTCTGTGAAGGATACTTCCTATTGTCGTTTCGACTCCCACAACCACCATCTCATATTTCTGTCCCTTCATCTTACCTTTTTTCTCCTTTTTCTTTTTCCCCTTGTGATGCCTTTCTTCACATCCCTTCCCTTTATTTCCCTCTGCTGTCTGACTTTTACGCAGGGCTCTCTGATAATGCGCGCATTGCTAATTGTATCTGAGCAGATGCTGTCGGCTGTTAAGCCCTGATGACACAGCCACGTGCGCAATCTGTGGAGGGGAGTTGATTTGGCTCAGGTCACGGGGTCACATTCACTGCAATGTCCTGTTGCCCCTCGGGCGTGCCAGGTTGTCTGGCTTTATGTCAGGGTGATTTGTACACTTGTGAGAAACTGTGTGTGTGTGTGTATACATCTAAATTTGTACTTATGAGATTTCGTCTGAGGACACGTGTGGCCAGAGAGTCAGTAAAATTCGTTGTGGCGTGCTTTCCCCTCAGGGCACCTGCTGAATCTAACACAGCTTGCACATACCCTCAATTAACTTTTATGTCTAATTAAGCACCGCTCTCGCTTCTGTTTTACTCATAAATCTGCTTCCTTTGTATAGTCAAAGCCCTCAAATGAATGGATCTATTGCAATGAAATAACTCAAATTATATGCCTCACAGAACTGGATATGGAATCCGGTTATTTATCATACAGATGTTAAAAGCAAAAAAAAAAAAAAGACAAGGTGAAATAGACAGAAGCCTCAGTTGGAGGCCAGAGATACACTGACACTAACTACATTTAATTTCAAACCCCTTGTATATCAGACACCACATAATGTAACATGCCATAGATACAATTCGAACCACCCACCAGACACCAATGCCAGATGTGGCTTGGTAAGAAAGTTGATAACAGATATACGCTCTCCGTTGCAGACAAAATGAGGAGATGAAGAATTTTTTGATTTGTTTTGTGGAGCCAATGCCCCTGTAAGAGTGAACACGGCAACAGTGGTCCCTCCAGAGATTCAACTCCCTCATCTTGTTGTATACGGTAACAGAAATGCACACAGCGGGTAATTAAGTGTTGTGATTCATCCTTGTCCCCAAAACTCCACAGAAAAAGCTTGACTATGGAGGTTGACAGCTATGATAATACAGGAACTGGGAAAAGCTTTGGTTCCGATATGTTCAAGTGCTGCATTTTTTCTGTTTCCTTGCCTTTGGTGTCAATTTGTGGAAGTGCTAGCTTTGAAGGTTGAGCAGTTTATAGGATTATGTCCTACTCCTTTTTATGATGTTGTTTTTTCTAAAGGCTATCATCCACATCCAAAAGAGTTGCATCTTTAAAAAGATTAAATGAATGGGAAAAAAAGATGTATGACAGTAACAATAAAGAAGAGAAGCAGCTGAAGGGGGGGTGAGAAAACATATGATAGATTCCTACCAACCAGAAGGATCAAAAGATTAAATGATAATTAATACCCTGCAGGCTCTTTGATTTTTATCACGTTCACTATTTTTATTGATCAGACTGAAATTTTCATTTTATGTTTGAAATAAGCAGCAGACCCCCTTGTAGAAATCCGTGTGGCTTAGATCAATAGCCAGTGGATTAGAACTAAACAAGTGCAGTCACAGAAATTCAAATATCGAATTTCAGAGCATGCCGAGGGACCACTGTGAAGCAGATCTAAGAATAATGCCGAGGGGCAATGAGAAAGTAAAGACAGCATGAGGAAATAAGAGACAGAAAGAGAGAGAAAAAGACAGTTGATATTGGCCTTCTTCCTTTCACCCTCCTATTTTCCCTCTCCCTTTTCAGAACCTATTATCTCTGTTTCTCTTTTGCTGACCTCTTATCACGAAAGTTGGTATGAATTGGGTCAAGTCAAGTCTAATTCAGATCTTCGACTCTGTGTGCCGGCGCTGTGGAAACGTCAGCTCGGCATCGTCTCCTCATGCTACCTACCACCTGCCTTCCTGCTTCCTGCCTCTGAGGTCATATGCTGCCCAGCAGCCCATTTAACGCTGCACCTGCTGCAATCGATTGATTCTCCCCAACTGTTGGCACTCAATTGAGTCCCTCACCACTACAGTAACTGAAAATGTGCTCAGACAGTGGGAGGGTGAAAAAAGATGGACGTCTGCAAGAAGTGGAGACAGCAGAAAGAGGAAAAGAGAAAGGAAGCAACCCCCCCCCCCCTCTGGGGTAGTATGGCAATGTTTGCTTTTGCAGATCCCAGAGCACCTCAGGGTGGACTCTGGCCAGTGCCACTGGACCCTGTCATCTTGGGTTTTGAGGGAGGAGTGATTAATAGACCACTGACTCTGCAACCTCTCGCTTATTTCCACCTGGGCTGTTGCTGTGTCACACTTTCTTGTTTGGACTTGCTGTATATGGAGGGTATTGCTTGTGTGAATAAGAAAAACTGAATCTAATCAGGAAGCAAGCAGAAAACTGCTGAGAAACTACTAACTACATTCATGGAGATGTTCACACTGTAAAACAAACCATCTGGTGCCGCCAAGAAGGACGGAAGCAAAGGCAAAAAAAGTTAAAAGGATGCCAGAGCCACACAAATTTACAGATAAAGCAACTTCTGAGAGGTAAAACAGAGCATTACGATTCATTCAAAGGGATTGAATGTTTGCAAGCTGTTTAACACCAAGTTCAGCTGGTTAGAGAAAGCATGCGTGGGTAGTAACTCACCAGGTGGACGCGGTACATGATGCTGATCCCGAGGGTCATGAAAGGCTTGGAGAAGTCGATTACCTTTTCGCGCTCTGCTGTAATGGTCAGGCCGGCCACTGCCAGGTCGGCTTTCTGAAAAGAAAGAAGTTCTGTAATGTAACCGTAGCTCTGAGAAACAACATCCTTTTTATGACACAACCGCTTGAAAAGAAGATAAGGATGACAAAATAAGAGGGGTTATTGGATGCCAAAATCCCAGTAATGCCCTTTTGTATCCTTTAGCCCCCTTTGTCCACCAATAGCGCTATCTGTGGTGAGGATAATCCAGAATTGGCCTTGTGAGTGAGCGAGCGTGTTGGGTACAAGAGAGCTCAGAGTATCCACTGTGGCTGCCAAAGAGAGCACTGTCAAGACAAATCACTTGACAAAGCAAGGGCTAGTTTAACACACATTTAAAAAACCCACAGGCACACACACATGTAGAAATGGTCAATGCGGCCGAACGCTGGATTGCTTTCCACTGGTAACATAGGCCGGCAACGTGCAACTTCAAGGGATTTTTTTTATCTCCCCGCAGAGCAAAGTGTGAAAGCAGTAAAGCATTGCTCTTTGTCTGCTGCAGGAGGGCTAAGAGGATTGGGGAGATGGAGGGGAATGGGAGGATGAGAGTAAACGAAGGGGAGCGCTGCTGCAGCAGTGCAGACGAGGAATGTCAAGGAATGCGTCTCATTTACATAGAAAAGTATTTTGGATATGATCTAAAAACGGGTTCAGAATGCTTTTAAGATTTCAAACTGGTTTAAAAGGCTTGATATAAAGACCGGTGCTTAAATTCCCTCTTAAATTCTCCATTTTAAATCTCACTGAAACCAAATTACTCACACTGCCCTATTGCCAGCCCCCGGGCTTTTTACTCTCCATCATCAGCTCTCCATCCTTTCCTGTCTTTACCTCTCTCTATTGTTTAAAAGTCAGATTGCAGGTTCCCAGTGCCAGAGGAAAGACACAAGGGAACAAATATTCAGGCGATTTTATCAAAGGGAGTCACTGATCCTTTGAAAAATGAACACAAAGTCATAACAGCCACTGAAATATTTATGTGACAATAGAATATTAATGTAGATTACTAGAGTCCTTTGCCTGCCTGCCTGCTGCTATGCCTTCTGATATTCAAAAAACACAACTCATTGTTGACTGTTCAATATTGCACCATAATGGTTTCCACTTGAACTGTGCATATGATGCTAATCCGGGTAAAAGGTCAAAAACAAAACTTGTAAATGGAAGAGATGTATTAGACATGGCCTTTTAGGAAGCTGCCTTTTACTCCAAGGGTTTATTCTGTGGAGATGGAACATGGCTCTGTTCTGTAACTGCAGCTTTATGGATTAAGCAGGCTGAATCACAGTTTGTTCAGTCTGTCTCACACCAGTCAAAATAATCACCCTCATTTAGTGAAATAAAGAAAAGTATAGATTCTTTAAGCTGCGTGACGCAGGCATCTGTTGTCCAGAATAGTCTCAGGCTGTACTCCACCATTCTTTAGAGTTGCTGCTCCTGTGTCTTTTGATTCTGACATATTTATGATTTCTTTGAACCAGCTCGGATCTAATCTAGTCAAGACGACCTTATCGAATGACATATGACCCAAATATTTGTGTTTCTTTTTGCCTTCCACTGTGTATCAAAGGTTGTAATCAGAGTCACATGTTGACTTAAACTATACTCTTTCTGAAGGTCAGCCTTCCAAAAGAAACTTACAAGGGGCAAAGCTGTAACAATAATAAGAACTGTCACGTCTTGCTTTACATACTTTAAGACTTTGCCCTCCATTAGCCTACGGAATTAAGACAGATCACCTCTTAGTCTTGACTCAGTCATTCTCTACATAATTTCCCTTCTCTTCTCCCCCCTTTTGCATTCTTGCAAAGTTCTTCATACCACTCGAAAAGCATTTCAACCCCACTCTTATCCCCTTTATATAACTTTATCTCCCTGTTAACAGCTATTCACAGCATTGCCGCAAGAATGCAAGTCCTCACTCAGAGATTTAACAGCAACGGCGTAGATGGATTCGGGGGAAAAGTCTGTTAAGGTCAGTTCAGACAGCTTGAGGAAAGGAGCTGACGGAAACCATGCCACCAACAAGCTGGAGCTACTTAGAAAATACTATACTTAGGCTGAAAAGGCCAAATGCTGAATGAAAAACTGTGTGTGACACAGAAGAAATCCGCCAACAAGAAATCAAAAGAAAGCAAAGCAGTCCAACATGTATTTGTATGTCTGCTTTTAGGAGTATTTATGTTGTGTTGAAGACAGTGATGTGCATTTATGTGCGCACACTTTTGAAATAGGATAATTTATGGTTGCAAAGGCTATTTGCAGGTTATACTTGAATTCTTTTTTATAGAGGATGTTTGAACATACCCTTGAGATAAGCTCTCCGACCATGCCGGTCCAAGTTCCATTAGCTCCAGAGACCCCGTAGACTCCGTCCCCGACCAGTCGGATCTGATAGTTAAACTTGAGAGTGTCCGCCAGCTCCTTCAGCATGTCCACGCAGAAACCTTCATAGCGATCGTTTCCTTCCAGTTGTTGGTGGTTCTGCCGCAGCATGACATAAGGATTTTCCTGGAAAAGAGTGCAATGTATGTATCGCAGTGCAACGTAAAACAATACAGCAGCTATCAAAAACCGGATGTGTAACACAGCAATGTGAGACAGAGGGCTTGAGGGAAAACATCTGCTGCAGATGTTGCTTATACACTTTGTCATAATCTACGTCTTGAAAATGCAAGGGGCATTATCAAGCTGCCGAAATGTGTTGTGTGACTGCTTTACAGAACCCGCCTAAAGACTCTACAGTGCTGATGACTGCAGACAGCATCCCATGTGTTTTTTTGGAAGGTCATGATTTATTTACGGTATACAGCCTTCAATGCAAACTGAGATTTGTGGATTTGAAACAGAGCCAGGTACTAAAATCAAAGACACAACAGGCGCTTGCTAATCTGCTGTATCCAGCGAAAAAAAAAAACAGGATGAGAAATTACACACACACACACAGCCGAAAACACACACACCCGCCTATTTACAACCTGTCTCTCAGAAAACTGACTCTGAGTTTGACTGCCAGTTTATTTATGTCCTGTTTTGTTGTTCAGTTGATGTTGCCTGGAAGATTTAAAGAGCTTGGCAGCGATATAAGTTGGAGCAACCTTAGTGTAGTATTTTTCAAATAATGCTGTCGTCAAGTTAGTGTTTTCAGGTTCCACCGCATCCCAAAAAGAGTGTTACTTTGCTCAATCCCCACCCGGCATAGAGAAACTCATTATCAGACAGAAATGACTAACAATTCTGATGCTGAAACCGAAATAAAATTCAACCTAAAGCAGGTCAGTCTATTTATTACCAAAGACTGTTGGGTATTTTAAAGTTCATGAATCTTTGGAAGATCCACAGCTGAATAATCTTTGTTTTTATGGAGACTGTCAAATACATGTACACAGATGCCTGCAGCAACATAGCAATGTGCATGAACCGATGAAAGCCAACTGTGACAGCTTTCAGGGGGTAAAAAAATTGCTGCTGTTTCTCTAGGATATAGAAGTGAAGCCGTTTTCCCATGGCCACAGCTGGAAATGCTTCCCTGCGCAGTGACTGGTCCGCTGGTGATGGATTTGCCTTAAACGACATAAACGGTCACACTGAAATTGGAAATGTTTGTGAACTTGATCCACATCAGGTGGCAAAACTGTAACTGTGAACTATTGTTGTCATGGCAACTGTTTGGTTCCACCTTCAGACGTAGAGTTTTGACACAGAGGACGGAACTGCTCTGCCTCGTTCTCGCTGCCGCACCGGACCGCAGAACTGCACTGCTGTGATAAGAATGGGAACAAAATGGATGCTGATGGACTGTTTGCATCAGAACTGCATTTGGATCCAGTTATCCAAATAGGCTAAAAAGTCTACTCAGGCGTGATGTTTAGAAACAACAGCCTGCAGTGTCCAACTAAGGCTAAGATACAATGTACAGTGATGACAGTAACTTGTTAAAGATTACATTTGGTGGATTAAATAAGATCTAATTCACCCAAAAAATATGTAATGTCAGCATCACCATCTTGTTATTTAATTAATTCATTTTCAATTAATCGGTAAGTTTCGATTTAGCTGATGAAATAACAGTATTGGTTCTGTAAATCTTGGGCACATTTTCTATTGAGCTGGACAGTAAAATCAGCATCATTGAATAAATAGTACCTTGGTGACATCCAGCTGTGAATATGCAATCTAAAGTGAAAACACCCGGCCTAGTCGCTGTTTGGTTTGTCTGTTCTGTGCCGATTTGGGAACAATTTAGAAGTGGAAAACGCAATTCTTAATTTCATCCATGATGCTGCACTGATGAAGACATCAGCGTGAAGACAATTCAGAACCTCTGCACATATTTTTCAGAAAAATCCTACCCACTAAAAACTTGAACAAGCTGCAGGTGCCATCTCACTGATGGAATACCGAATCTATGTCTTGTTATATTAAATCGTCCTTGAAGGGTGATATAGGCTGCAGTTATGCTCCCGTTTAGCAGAAGAACGGTGTCGTGCATAGCTGAACGCATGCTTGTCTGCCCCTACAGCACTTAATTGAGCAAAACCTAATTTGCTTCTCAGCTTCCTGTTGATTTATGTGCGTGAACAATAGTAAAGCTTTCTGTATCTATAATTTATGACCTCTGTCATTAAGATGCTCAATCTTTTAGAGTAAGGCTAGAAAATATTGCCAGAGTATCGTGTATCTCCCCATTCCTTGGTGTTGACCTGAGAAAATACAGCTTAATGTATTAGATTATGGGAACATCAATCACAAGAGTAAAATCTAAACAGCAATCAATAATAAAGATGGTTGTCAACTTGTTATCAAGCTAACACTTTTGCAGACTCTTGGTTTTGCAATTCCTCCGGTAATATTTCCTTTGTTTCCATTTCTCCGTCATTATTTAAGCACAAGTGGCTCTGTGAACTGGAATCTGGAATAAAAGGTTTAACAGAAAACTTTTTACAATCACTGAGAAGAAAACATATAAACTCCATCTACAAAATAGTCTTTGCAAAAAATTTGAACAGAATCATATAAAAAATAACTATAAAATGGAATAAAGGGTCTATATGTTGTAAAAGTGTTGTATGCCACGAGGGTCAAATCACTAAGAAATTCCATCTACTTTCTTTTTGTGCACCAAAGCAAAACAGCAATTAAGCTATCAGTATGAAGCTGTAAAGAAATGCAGACTTTCAAGCAGACTCTAACTCCCAGGCAAAGAGGAATCTGGTTGCAGACTGATAACTTTAGTAGCAGAGGCACCTTTTTATATAAACCAGGTGCACGCACAGATATTCACATTGAGCTTCATAGAACCGCACAGGAGTTCCCTCTTTTGCAATCCCATGGTGTACAAGACGTCTCCCTTCACAAAGCCATCGTGACTTTTCCAAAATGATTCCTTATCCTTAAAAACCTTCTCTCAGGAGTGGAGTCAACAGGCAACTGAGAGCCACAGATCTTCCGATAAGAATAGTAACATATGAATATCGGCTGGGTCATCTTAAGTTTTGATAAAGCAATTACAACACAATGTCTTTAGGGCCTTACAACGAATGACATTCAGAAAGTACAACTAAAAATGAATAAAGTAACAGGGAGGAAAAAATTATTCACAAAATCTTTGAAAAATGGGGACAGAGCTTGTGTGTGTGTGTGCGCAAATTCATGTGCTCTTGCGTCAGTGCCCCTGAGCCTGTGTGCCAGAAAATCTGCCTTTTTTGTCTGCTTTTATCAAGTCGGCACTATGCACACTGTTGAATACTACCAATACATTTGTGGGTGGATAAAAAAGCACTCAGTAACACAAGGGCTGTGTTAGGGAAAAAAGGGAAAGCTGCAGAGGGGCATGTAGTTGACAAAAGCAGAGCATGAGGCCTACAAGAGGGACTTGAAGTTTATTAATGCCATTAATAATAGAAAATCAGACAAATTAGGATGTAAATATCGAGAGGCCATGATTTTTAAGAATGGCAGTTAGTCGCCAGCAAAAAAAAGGAACCAGGTCTATATTTGGCTGCATGGGATTTTAGACAAGAATTAAAAGACAAAATGTTAATTTACTTTACAGATATACATACCATCCATAGGCTATTGAATATGCTGATAAACACATAATAAAAACAAATATTAAATCAAGTCGCTGCAAAAACAATTACATGTGAGAGGGTGAGTTTGTGGACTTGATGCAGTGGGTTTTAGGGGTTCATTATCTGCACTGTAAGATGTAAGATCTGTTTTCTTTTGAGAACATCAACCAGCTGTGCTGCTGTAGTTGATAATGACTAAAGGTTATGAACAAAAATTATAAAGCAACAGTTTCAGTTTCAGAGACATTGCAGGTGGTATGCTTGTAATTTCGGGTAACACCATGAATCCTCCCTCAAAAACCTGAGAAGCTGTGAGAAAATTAAATAAAAACAGGTGGAAATAAATTGCAGGTAAACCAATAAAGCAAATATCCAACAGAAATGATATGCAATACCTATTGTAGAAGCATTATGCAGCATTGTCACGCTGAATTATGCAAGCTACCTTGAGAGAGCATTTGTAGCCTGTGTATACCTTTCACGACTGATGGTACCAGCTTGACCGCAGATTTTATGATTTTCTCATCATCTTTATCTGACCATGTAATAGCTTCCCCCTTTGCACCAGTCCACTTCAAATTAACGTTATTCCAGACAATATGTCTGTGTTTCTGGATCATGGCGACCAGCATAGCTAGTGCAATGATTCCTAGGGCAGAATCCTACTAAAAAGAGAAGAAATAATATGTATAGTACAGTTGGATAACCACAACTAGAAACTGGTTCCTGTGAGTGTTTGGTAAAAGCGTCTAGCTATTAAAATACTGGAAAACTTACTGCTCCTCCCACACTGGTAATAATCACTTCAGAGGAAGCTTTAAAGATTATGTTGCAACGGACATACTCAGTTTCTTATAAGGAAAAAATGGCATCCAGTAAGATAGCATAGCACATTCACATAGTGAATAAGCACATTATCAACAAAGACCAAACACCATGAACACAAATGAATAGGTTCTGTTGAAATTCACTTATTTGAAGTGGTTTACCACAAGATATTTTCTTTTGTAACACAGATGGGTGCCACCTTGAATAACCATGCAATAAAAGAAAAGGAAATTGATATATGGAGTAATGGAAACGTGATACTTGTTCTACTGTCTGACTTCGAAAACCACACACAATGTTGCCATCAAAAATGACTATAGCAGCAAAGAATGTATTTTTCTATTACACTGATATAGTGCTGAGGGTGTGAAGATATTCTCTCCAATGATGATCCAAGCAGTGGCAGTTACAAACTCAATCAATGCTTACAAACACAGGGCTTGTGATGCCTCAGTAAAGTGATAATCAATTCTGTGACTGGTTTTCCTGGAGCTATTTGTGATATTGAAGTAGGGTGGTGACAGCCATGTGGAGGTGGAATGAAACGGCTCAGTTAAGGCCGCATGCACGTGCCATGGGTATACACAAACCCGG